AAGAAACTACCAATTCTTCCAATAACTGAATTTTGATATTCGGAACATGATAGAATTCCTCCATCCCCAGAGGCTCCTCACTGAAAATCGACGGACCGTCGTAGATACCGTTCACTTCGCCGGTAAGACACTCCTCCACCTCCTTGAGTCCTTCATCAAACACAGACGGACCATCGTACAATGGCCCGTCAACTTGCTCTCCGTCAATTTGGGGATGTCAACGCGAAACGGGCCCTCCCATTAACCATATTCGCGAGCAAGTTTCCAATCGCGTCGGGCACGATATCCGCCGACGAAGGTAGCCTCCTCACGCCTGCCTCTGTCGTCGCGTTGATCGTCGCGCTCCATGAAGACCGGGCCCCGTCGCCGCATGTCACGACACACGTATGCAGCGGAGGGGTCAACCTCTTCGTGCGGGGGTGGATAAGCGCCGTAGGAATTCAGCTTCAAGATTGTCTCCTCGTCGTCTTCGTCGCCGGACGGTGGTTGTGGAGATCTCTTGCGGGGCGCCCCGCCTGGACCACGACCTCCACTTCCTCCGTAAACTCTCCCGCGCACACCTCGGTCGCCGGCGACACAAAGCAAATCCTCGATCCCCGTCGAAAGATCTGCAAACCAATCCGTGAAGCGCACGTTCAACTGTTGAAATCGGTAGTCAATCTGTTGAAACCGATCGTTGAAGGTTGCATCTCGTTGTTTGTTTTGCGGCATCTTGTCGTCCCAACGTCATCGCGAATCGTACTGACTGCTGATATCAACTAATGTAGGGAAGCATACGAATGAAGGATAAACGAGATACACTCTCGATAAAACTCACAATCAATAATATTTTCATTCAATAATCAACTACCAATAAGTTATTTGTATGTATATAATATTAAAATTATAAGTAAGATAATAATATTATATTTTAAACATAGAGTATAATGTTTAAATTTATGCATGTAATATTAAATTATAAGTTAGATAATGGTATTATATTTTAAAATTTCATCATTGTTTAAAAAAATAGTACAAAAAGATGTGATTGCATAATAATAATAATAATAATAATAACAATAATAATAATAATAAATTGTAACAGTTACAAGAGGAAAAATGCCACATAGGTGCCATGTAGGTACAATTAACAGGTGCCACATAAGTATAATTAATGAGATAAAATTTATGAGGCTTTATTAAATTCTTTGCTAGCAATTATAATATATATAGGTATAGATTAGTTCTTCAATGTTTCTAATATAAACTAGTAGATATCTTGTGCACATGCACAGATGTACATAAAATATTATTAAGTAATATTAGAGAATTTAATATTTAAATTCTAGACAATGAACATATTACATTTTCAAAAATTTGATCATTAGGAAAAATAAACTAAAGATTTTATTATTATGAACAATTGTTTATTATCATTAGATAATAATAATTTGATTATTATTATTATTATTATTAAATAATAATAATTATTATTATTATTATTATTATTATTAAAAATAATTATTTGTAAGCTTCTAAAGTTGTTTGACTATGCTATTACAACAATATACTAATTATTTTTAAAGAATTTTTTTCATGAGATACAAAAGAAAAAGATAATATTGATGTTAATATAAATAACTTGAAACAATTGTTTATAATTATGTAATTTATATTTATTGTGAATTATTATTAGTTGGTATTAGCAATAACTATTATATAATATAATAGAAAAATATATGATTACACTTAATAGGATGTGTTAATGTGAAAATAAAAAAAATATTAATGATAAATTTTGTAACTGAAAATAGAGGGGAAATTTTAGAGGTTTTATTAAATAGGTACAATTAAATGCTTTTCTTCCTCTTTCTTCTTTGTTTGTATATATATATATATTTGTATATATATATATATATGTACATATAAACAAATAAGCTAGCAATTATATATATATATATATATATATATATTATTAAAAAATAATTGTTTATAAGATTCTAAAGTTGTTTTACTATGCTATTAAAATAATTTACTAATTGTTTTTAAAGAAATATTTTTTTATGAGATACAAAAGAAAAATATAATATTGATGTTAAAATACATAACTTGACAATTGTTTATAATTATGTAATTTATATTTATTGTGAATTATTAATAGTTGGTATTAGCAATAACTATTATATAATATAATAGAAACATACATGATTACACTCATTAAGATGTATTAATGTAAGAAGTAAAAAATATTAATGACAAATTTTGTAACCGAAAATGAAGGGAAAATTTTAGAGGTTTTATTAAATGTTTTATTAAATGCTACATGCCAGCAATTATATATATATTGATTGTAAATTTTAAAAACATTCAATACTACATAATTTTATAATATTATTTTTCCATGAAGTTACATTTTTATAACTACTTATCATTATATTATTATTATTTTTATTCTATTATTTGACAATTAACTAATACTCTTTATACCATATAATTTTATGAGGTGATCTGCACCACGCAAATGACTTCTTGTTCATAAACCGACTCAGTTATAATGGGTGTGTGCATAAAGCGATTAAAGAGTATTATCAGAATATTTTATACTTGTTGGATGCATATTAAGTATCACTAATGTTCCCCTGCCCACGGTAGACACATGTTAATATGCTCACCGCGTATGTGGCATGCACACATTGGTAATGTTAATATATTCAAAAAAATACATCACCAATGTGTGCATGCCACATAAACGGTGAGCATATTAACATATGCCCACCGTGGGTAGGGGAGCATTACTGTATTAAGTAATAGGATCCTTATTATTTTCTCCAAATTCAAATGGGATTTGCCTTATGTACGTAGAGATTTCCTATCTATATATATAAGGAGTCCTTTAACATTATACATTTGCTCCTTTTTGGGTCAATCACCTAAACTTTAGTAGACACTTTTGATCGAGCATGGTCGGATCATTTTAAGGCCGTTAATCGAGCTTAGGGCTGTAAACGAATAGAGCCAAGCTCAAACTCATGGTGTTCGATCTCGAGCCCTTAACGAGTCACAAATCAAGCTCGAGCATGACGTCCATCAATATTAACGAGCCCATCTCAAACTTTTAACAAGTTGAACTATAGAAAATTACGTAAAATTCTCTTTTAGAGCATTAACGAACTGATCCGAGCCTGACTCGTTAACGAATCGAGTTTTAAGTGAGCTCGAGCCTTAACGAGTCGAGCCGAAACGAGCCACACCGAGCTCACGAGCAGAACCGCGTATCTAACTAGCTGGCTATATTGTTGTTTTATATTATAAATTGTGTTTGTAAACATCAAAAACTCATATTTTTGGTTCATTCCTAAAAAGACATTTCCTTAATGCGTTGTACTAACCAGCGAAGAAAAGAAAAAAGGGAATACAAAATTCCATAATTGCCCCAATTCAAAACATGTGAAATCGCCAAACGCGTCCTTTATTCTGCCGAAAATTACCAATCCTCCTCAACCGGCCGGTATTCTTCCCATTTTACCCCTTATTAATATTATTAATTTATTTCTATATAAACCACATCACAATAAAGCCCGCAAAAACTGTTCCATAACTTCCAAAGCGAGGATAGATAGAAGGCAAAATATAAATAAAATAAATAAATAAAAAAAAACTTACATATTCTTCGCGGCCCGACCCGACCCGACCCATGGCGTGCTACCCGGAGGAAGAGGTCTGGAAATGCCCGAAACACCCCTCCAAGCGGCGGCGCAACGGCATCTGCCCCGTCTGCCTCCGCGACCGTCTCGCCACCCTCTGCCCCATCTGCGCCAACGTTCGCCCCTGCAATTGCGCCGCCCACGCGCCGCCGCCCACATCCCTCTCACTCCACCGATCTAAATCCGTCGCGATCCCCTTCCTCCGCGCGCCTTCCAAAACGCCGTCGCTCCTCTCGATCCTGAGGCGGAGCAAGACGAAGAGTCACGATCCAGCGGCGGCGGCGGCCGAGGAGGAGAGATACGAGGGCGAAGACCGCAGAAGAATCGACGATTTCGCGGAGATTATCACACGGTCGAGGTCCATGAGAGCCGGCCCGACGGCGGCGGCGCCGCGGCTTCGGCCGCGAGACGCCGGCTCCTCGGCGGCGAAGGGGAAATTCTGGCACTTCCCCAGCCCGATGGCGGTGTTCAGGGGTTCTAAGGCCTCGAAGGTAGTTGTTCATGATCAATCGCCTTTGCACAGAGGTTGAATCTCCCCCCC